TGTGTGTGTGTGTGTGTGTGTGTGTGTGTGTGTGTGTATGTGTGTGTGTGTGTGAGAGAGAGAGAGAGAGTGAGAGAGACCAACAGACAGACAGACACGGACTGGGGTAAAAAAGAAGAAAGAATTAGAGCTGATGGACACTTTTAAAAGGAGGAATTGATTAGTTTTTCCATGTATACTTTTCTTTCTATCTTAAAATTCCAAGCTTTTCTTAAGTATTAATCCTGATTTAACATACTTAATGACTAGAATTACAAACGTTAAAAACATTATACAAGATAACAACCAACAAAGTAGCTTAAGAAAAATGTTCTTGTTTTCTCTTTTGTCCTAGTTTCTCTAGCAATCCTGGCAATCAATAGGCAGTCAATCAGTCCAGCGCAAAAAAAAAAAAAAAAAAAGTGAGAAATATGTGTTTCCAATACGCAGATTATTCCCATATTTTTGGATGAGTTTGTTCTCTTAAAGATTTTTGTAGCTGCCATTCAAGAGAAATATTGCCAATGTTCTTAAATATTACCATTATAAAAAACAAGAGAATCCAAAATGAAAAGGTGTTGTTACGGGTCATAGGAAAGATCTATGGGGAATAAATATATATTTGAGGTATATAATGACCCAAAATAGCATAATTATTACTGTGCATTTGAAAAGCATAATCAAAAGTATTATAAAGGAGAGGGAACTGTTCTAAAAATATGAGGCAAAGTGATACATTTAAATTTCAGTTATAAGCTAGCTATATTTACCTTCTAGTTGCAGAATATATTGTAGAATATTCATCCTAAGAAATGGCAGAAACCACACTGCTGTATGCACTTGACACAAACAGTATAGATACTAGGAAATGTCCTCTAGCAAACAATGCCACACAGGCTTCCACAGCAAGGATGGAAGCGTGAAGAGGCACATGGACTAGATCAGTGATTTTCAAACTATGAATTGAAGCGGTTTCCCTTCCAGGGATAGCTGAAGCCATCAAAAGTGAAAGAAATGAAAACTGCTTTTCCTATGGAATGTTGTTCCTGAAGATACTCCAAAGCCAAAATTTGTATTGCCTATGGGATATCATAAAAAGATTTAATCCAAGGAGGATCACAGGTAGAAGTACTAACAGCCTGCTCCTGCCTGACAATCAAGAGTTCATCATCATTATTTTTCTCCTCATTTCTCCAAAAACCTTTAGGAAAATATTAGAAAAGGAAAAGTTGGATCCTATCACCATAATCAGAAAGAGAACAAGCTTTGAGTACTCAAGATCCACAGTACATAAAATACTGATGCATGAAATCAAAAGCACTGTAAAACTTCTTCCAGTCTCATTAAACTCTACAACCCATAATTCCTAAATATTTGTTAATGCTATTCTAAGAACCACATTTTAAATGCAATCCCTTAAGTGTCTGCATTCTTCTCCCTATGAGCACATGATTCGTTATTTCTGGGCCATGTGGAAGGCTGCTTTGTTGTGCTAACATGATCTCTCTCCCCAAGGAGAGAGCTACTGCAGGATGCCTGGCAGTTCTTTAAGTTTCTGTTTTTTATATATTCCTCACCATACACAGGAGAATAAACAGTTAAAGATTATTTTTCACCGAGGAGATCAGCTTAGTACTTTTTAAAACCTGTGTCTTTAACTTTTCACATATTAAAGAGGAAGTGGGCAGGAAACAAATCATAAGAATTAAAGTAATTGTGGAACAGAGTATTTCCCAAGGAACCAATCAACAGTTAGTAAACCAAGAAATAGCTGTGACTTTTGTTTAATGTTAAAATCAGGTATAAAAATTGTGTGTTAAATGAATATATATAGCTAATTCAGATGGGATTAAGGAAAGGAATAATATTTAAAGGATCTGATTTCTTTATTACTGCATAGTATCAGCACATTATTTTGCCAATGCTGAAAACACCCTGCATTAACAGAAGAACAAAGTAATGTACAGAGCTTAAAAATATTTTCATGTAATTTCTTAAGTGCATCTCCTAAAAGAAAATATGTCTGCCTACAGGTAATCTCAGTTTCTTCATTTTGGTTAAAATGGTTCTAGTTGAGATAATTTACAGACTTACTGCCTTTTCTCCCTTAAGGGAGAAGTCATTTACGTAGTATGGTTGCTGATAATGTCTATTCCCAAGTAATAGATTTCATTTTTTCTTTCACTGAATGTAAATTTTTGCCCCAAATTAATGACATATACTTTGTCATTACTGAAAATCTGTTAACTCAGGAACAAAACTGAACTCACTCTGGCAATTTTATATAAATGAATGAATTAGAAACAACAATGAAGTCAGCTTGGTAGAATGCTTTTTTATCTAAGATTCTGGTGCTTCCTTGAAACAGGCAGCTGATTTTAATGAGAGCTAAGGTAACCGAAACAAAGTCCTCCACCTAACATCAACTTTCCAAATCCATAAAGAAACTCTGGCAAAAGCCATTCAGGTATTTTTCTTGCATGAGTAAAAATGTAAAACTTAAGGGTGCCTTCCATGTCTCCTAATTCCAGTAGGTTCCCTCTAACTTATTATTCATTTTAGTGTACTGGAATCCTTACCCTTGGAAGATTTTTCCTTTTCCTGTTTGCAACTTCATCAGCTCGGAAAAGCTTCCATTCAGTTAAAGTGACAGGCAAAGTGGTATCTTTCGTGAGCTTTGACCGTAAATAAGCCTGTGAGTTTTTCACTTCCATAGTCTTACGGTGAAGGAACTGAGGTTTGGGAGGAAGCTAAAACAAGAGAAGATGTACTGGTAAAGGGTAAGATCATCTAGTTACTGTCTGTGTTCTCCTACAAAGTCAAAGCTATCTCAGAAAAATATTTCTCTTTCCTTTAAAGTTGTCTCAAATGAGGATGCCATAATTTCTTTTTCACCAATTGTAAAGAAGTTGTTTCTCAGGTTTCTAATCCAAAATTCTTCTACTACAATGTAATCAATTTCCCAAATACAACAGCTCATTGAGTCTTCATTAATCAAGCCTTTGCTTTCAGGAACCAGGTAGGTAATTTAAGTCATAGGTTGATGTGAAACTAACTAATAGGGACCAGTGGGAACTATAGTGAACCGAAAAGTTCATGGTTGTCTAAAGGCACTCATATTCAAATTTTTTGAAGTGCTAAAACAACAAAAACAATAACAAAACAAAACGAAAAGCTGTGTGCTGCCCCCCAAAAAAACCCACCACCAACAATAAAATCTACACTTCAGTGCCTCTTATGTTTTGGTGTCAGTTAAACCATTTTAACCTTTTTGTAAAGATCATAAACAAGATTCTAATGTTTTCCTCAATTATAATAATTCTCTGGTTATACCTTGGGTGCCTTGAAAGTACTTTTAGTGGGTGGTAGCTTCCATGCTGAAGGAGATCTCCACATGGGTAAAGGCTGCACTGGAATATCTTCATATGGATTTTCTTTGGTGGGATCTTGAAAATAGTTTTAAAAATGTTTAGAGAAATATAATTAAATGGAAAAGTAACCATAGCTAGCAAAAGGAATAAAAAACTGACCACATTCACCTTTCTTATTCTACCAATAGCACTTTAAGCTGTTAAACCACATAGGTGTCTAACAGAGCTAAACGAATTCTCAAAATACTATACTATAAACATCCACTTCTGAACTGAGCACTCCATTACACTAGTTGCAAAATTCATTAGAGAATAAAATAATTTATATACCAAAGGTTTCCATATTAAAAAGAAAAACCTAGAGCAAGATATGCTTGATTGTAAAAGAAAATGTCATTCTACAATTAAGGGCTTTAGCAAATACATAATCATTAAATTTAATTGCAAAGTTGTGGGCACCTACATATGATATCCTCATAGATGTTGTCCTCAGACTGTGTGTAATAAAGTGCTGAACCAGAATTTCTTCCAAGTTCTTCATGAATCTTCTGTGAGTTCTGACTTCGAAAGTGCTGAATATCCTCAAATTCAAAGGATTTCCTTAAGAAAGGAGATACACTTTAAAGTTATATCTTTCTAAACTCTAATCTTCTTTAAATTGGTATGGTAGACAGAAATCTAAGTTAGGGACTTGCGTGCAAATTACAAAGGAGTTTTATCAGAGATGTAAGGATAATAAACTAGGTTGATGCCCTACATACACCACGAGAAAATTCAAGACTTTTAGCCAATCACATTCATGTTCTTCACTGGGTTCCTTTATTAAGTGCACTCCCTAATGAAAAGTGGGGCTAAGGCCAGCATGCCCTAATTGAAGTGCAAGAATGTACTTGCTTCCCTACAGGTTCTTAAAGATATAAAATGGAAGATTTTCTGATGCTCTTGTCGGTAGATTGTCTTAAGTATTACCTATACCTCTACTTTTTCCTCTTCTTTTTATTTTCTTTCCATATTAATCAACATTTGTATGTTCAAATTAGGGCTGCAACCTAAGCTGGGGAATGGAAGTTGGTTTGAAAGGAAATAGAAGCTCAATAATGTTGTAAGGAAAATACTTATAAGCTAAAACATACCTCTTAGATCTTCCTCTAATTTTTCCACCATATTTCTTCGGTTCAGGTTCCTGAGAAGAAGCCAAAGAAGATTCTGCACAAAAATTATTTTCACAGTATCTTTTGTCACAGTTTCTTTCTTTATATGGCGTAACACCAGATTCAGATAAATATCTGAATGTCCTACGAGGTTTTGGCAAAGGATTTATAGAAACTCCACATTCTTGCCCCTCAGGTTCAGAGTAAATATTTTCTAAGCTCTTAGTAATTCCATACGAACTATCCAGAACTCTGAAATTCAGTTCTTTTTCTGAAGAGTCACAATGTTCTAAAGCCAAATTTAAGACTTTTTCTGGGGGAAGTGCTTCTACTTTCTTCCACAATATTTGTGAGGTATAGAAGTTTCCTGGAGGTAATGAAGTCTCTGGATCTAAAATAACTTCTTTACAACTTTCAATTTCTTTGACCCGAGAACACACCCAATTGGATTCTGATTTATTTTTAAAGAAGCATGTATCATCATATTTATGTTTCTCACTTTCATCCTCATTTTGATCACAGCTTTTGGCATTTTCATTTATACCTAGACCCACATTTTGAGAGCTGGTTACATCGAACTTTTTGCTCTTTCCCTCAGCAAGAGGATTGTTCTTAGGAAGAATCTCTTGGTGACAGTTATATCTCACTCCAAAGTCCTTTGGATGCCATTTTTCTGGATTAGATACACCATTAGCCCTTCCTTCCCACTGAGAAATTTTTTGTTTGATGTTTTTGCAGTGGCTTCTTGACAGTGTCTGAACAGCAGAACGAGAAAAACCAACATCCATGTTCCCAGTTGGGTGCATGAAAAGTGATGAATCTTACAAAGGTTCCATTACAAGTAACTGTGAAATGCTGTATTCTTTATCCTGTCGGAATCCACACAATTCCAGTATTTTCCTTTCATGTTTAACTTGGAAACCCCTTTTTAAAAAGAACAATTTTGATCGTTGATCCTTGTTGAAAATGGCTACACTTCTGTCTTGAATAATCCTATTAGAATGAGACAAAAATAGGTTAACACAATTTTATAATTTCCTAATTTAAAACTCCACTAAAACATTGCCCACCTATCTCTAAATAATTCATACACACTGCATATATAAAAATGTACTTGTCATCTACTAAGTAATTCAACTCCATAAAGGAATTGCTAAGATGGTGATATAATAATACTGAGAAAACATTACTTGTGGTATTTCCCAGATTGTCAGCTTTAATGTTCTGCCATATTTAATTTCCTAAAGTTAGAAGAGAGTCTCCTGCCGGCCGTGAGGAAGCAAGCTGCCATGCTGTGAACTGCCTCTGAGACGGCCACGTGGCAGGGAACTTCAGGGCCCTCCAGGAGCTGAGGGCTGCTCCTGGCTGACTGTTAACAGGAAAATGGGACCCTCAGTCCTGTACCCTCAAGAAATTCTGCCAAAAACCACATAAGCTTGGAAGAGGATCCTGAGCCACACAAAGAAACACAGCCCAGCCAGCACCTTGACTGCAGTCTTGTGAGACTCTGAGCAGAGCACCCAGTTAAGCTGAACCCAGACTCCTGACACCAAAAGAAACTGTGAGATAACAAATACATGTTATTTTTTTTTTTTTTTGAGACAGAGTCTCACGGTGTTGCCCTGGCTAGAGTGCCGTGGCGTCATCCTAGCTCACAGCAACCTCAAACTCCTGGGCTCAAGCGATCCTCCTGCCTCAGCCTCCCGAGTAGCTGGGACTACAGGCATGCGCCACCATGCCCGGCTAATCTTTTCTATGTATTTTTAGTTGTCCAATTAATTTCTTTCTCTTTTTAGTAGAGACAGGGTCTCGCTCTTGCTCAGGCTGGTTTCAAACTCCTGAGCTCAAACAATCCGCCCGCCTCGGCCTCCCAGAGAGCTAGGATTGCAGGCGTGAGCCACCGCACCCGGCCAATACATGTTATTTTAAGCTGCTAAAAAAAAAATTCCTAAAGTTAGATAGAATGAGGTTTTATAAGAGAGTACACATAGGGGTATATAATATTATTTTGTGATAAATTAATTCTTTATGAAACCTTCTCTCTCTCTCTTTCTCTCTCTCTCTCTCTCTCTCTCTCTCTCTCTCTCTCTTTCTCTCTTTAAAGATAGGGTCTTGCTTTGTTGCCAGGCTGGAGTGCAGTGGCGCAATCGTAGCTCACTGTAGCCTCAAACTCCTTGGCTCAAGTGATCCTCTTGTCTCAGCCTCCCAAGTAGCTGGGACTACAGGCATGTGCCACCATGTCCGGCTATTTTTTTAAATATTTTTTGTGCAGATGGGGTCTTGCTATGTTGCCCAGGTTAGTCTCAAACTCTTGGTCTCAGGCAATCCTCCTGCCTTGGTCTCCCAAAGTGCTGGGACTATAGGTGTGAGCCTGGCCAAAACCACCTCTTAATGAAACAAGGACCAATGGAGTACTATAAAGAGCGTCAGTGAACAGAATTACATCTCAAAGAACCAAAAAGTTTATGTATACGTCCACAGCAACAGCCACTTAGTCTGGAAACACACCAATAGCTAATTTCCTCCTCCTGTCCTATGTTGATTGACAATATTAGCCCATCACATACCCTTATGTTAACTTTATGATTAGTAGCACAGGATTCCACACGCACTAAAGATAACCCAAGGTGCCCAATAACTATCAGTTGCTTTAAAAATTTAATAACCTATTTTGTCACTGATGACTGAACTTTCCACATCTCTGCCACCACACCCTTGACCCAAATCAGCACAAATACTTACAGCCACTGTCACATTCCTTCCCTTCCCATAGGGGCTTCATTCAGTTAGGCCCATAAACTATTTCCTCAAATGAAAATTTGGCAGAAAACTTTTCCTAGCAACTGAGTAAAGACCTGATCTCTGGTTATAAATAGCAATTGATTCAAAACTTCCTGAGGCAGGGGTCATCCTTCCTTGAGCTTTGTCTGTGTGGCCTTGATTAACGGGCAGGAAAATATCTTAGTCCAGCTCTGTCAGTACAGCTGACCAAAACCGATATATATATACTACATGCACACAAAATTTATTCTTGGCAGAGCAACTGCTAATCAGGACTTCAGTCAACTTTCATTTAAACCATTCCTACAAGTTTGTAGGAAAACCAGCTTTGCCAGCAAATAAACTGGTAACAGTCTGAAGCAAAAAAAAAATCATTCTAAAAAAACTTAAACTCATGTGGGTGGAAAAATTATAACAATACCCAAAGCCCCGAATATCAAAACTGTTGAACAGAACACTTGATAAAAGACTAATGCATTAAATTTAAAGATCTAATCCGCTACTATTGACTATTATAACTTTGAAAATCCTTTCCTTGCTTCTGATGTTTATAGGCAATTCCTAAGAATTTTAGATGTCCTTGAGACTCAGATTTTCTTCATCATAGACAAGATAGGACTTTTTTTCCCCTCTAGCTCCTGGGTGGGCCCCTGGAGATTTTTGGCAGTCCTTGTTAACCCTTTCTTTACTATTCCATGGTTAATGTATTTTAAATATGAATGGGTCAAATAGAAAAAAAAAATGATGAAAATTGCCAGGGCTAAAATAGTTTTTTAACTTGAAATTTACTGGCAACAAATGGCTAAATCTATAGAATGCACAACACAAATATAAATGATGTGTATTAACAGTGTACCAGTGGCAACAGAGTAGGATAGCAGCATAAGACACTCCTAAAATAGGTAGGTATTATAAAGAAATATCCCACTTGCTCCTAAATGTATGTATTAATACGTCATAGCTTTCAAAAAATAAACAATTTCAAAAATAAAGAAGTTTTAATGCATTTTAACTAGATCTATGATTGTATTTACAATACAATCTCTCTTTATAGTTGATTTCACAGTTCCAATTTATGTCAAATTAACTTACACCCTTTATAATGTAGCTTGTCTATTCCAACATACAGGTTGTGATTTTGTTTCATTCAAAAAAATAAGAATTGCTCACCAAACAAGAGTTGCCTCAATTGTTTTCCTACAGGAACCTTATGTTTGTCCGTTTAACCTAATTATATTCTGAGCCATCTTGCTCCTCAGAACCTCCTCCCCCATGGCTCTCCTAGCCTGTAAGATCTTTTATATCCTATCCCTGAGCCCCCCAGTTTCTTGCCTTGACCTCCACTATTGGTGGACATTCCAACCTTTAAGTGCTGGCCCAGCTTTCAAGTCCTAGATCTCGTCCAAGCTTCATCTTTTGAAAACTTCCTAAAGCCAACATATTCATATACTTGTTTCTAAGATTGCTTTCTTTGGCTTGCTTTAACAGTTCTAACTGAAACAGAGGTTGAGAAAATCTAACAGTTTTAAAAATTTTTTAAAAATCATTTTGTTTCTTCTCGTAATACCACAAAATGAGTCAAAGACTTCTCTAGCTCAGGTAGAACTCACAAAAAGAGAAGGAAGAGCACACATAACGACAATGGGCAGTCTCAACAAAAGAAACAGTAGTAGTCATTCAGTTCCTCACGTGAACAAAAGAAGCATGACTATGGAAAAATCAAGCATGGTTTTGAAAAATATAATAAAACAGAATTCTTGGAGATGATTCTTAATCATGCCACTTTGTTTTTATTTTTATCCAAGAAATACATGAAATGTAGTGGTTTATCAGCTTGAAATATAATTTATAACATAACCTCTCATATATAGAATTCTGTGATTTTAGCATATTACAAGAAACCAATCTGAATCCATTCAGGTAAATTAAATTCTCTTTGGGAAGGAGGATACCGATGCTCTATTTTACTAACTCAAGTCTTACATAATGCAAGTTTAACATGCCAAATCTTTCAAGATATTTTATTTGATTAGACATAAGTATCTGAAAAAATAATTTGGAACAGTCTAAAAGCTGATTTACAAACTGATGAAGGGGTACACTTTAAAGTGGTTAATTTTATGTTATGTGAATTTGACCTCAATTAAAGACAAAACTGATGAAAGGAACCAGGAAAACTCTCACTTCTGGCCATGATGGAATTATCATGGAAGGCCAGATTTGCCTTCCCCATAAAAATAACTATAAAACTGGACAAATATATAAAATAAACTATAAAAAATTGGTACTGATTATCTAGCTATAGAAAAATAAATAAAATAAATGCTTTCAGATATTGGATAACAGATACACAGGACTACGATCCCTGAAAGAAGGGAGACAAATAAAGCAGGCTCTATGTCGGCCCAGCTTTCTCCCTGGAGACTGTTTCTAGAAAGCAGTGTTGGGAGGGGAACCTAAGAGAACATGGCAACCTTGCTGAATTGAGGATTAAGACACTGGAATATGGAGAGGCAGAGGCAAATAGAATTTTCAGAGTAGACCATCAGAAAAGAGGGAGCAACACAGAGAAAAAGCTCCAGAAATCTACAGAGAGTCCCCTTGAATCTTTGGCTGAATACTAAGCTGCTAATGCATAGGGTAATACTACATGAGGCTGGACGACAAAAAACAGTGGGGAAAGAACAACTATGGTGGATCCGTGTAAGCTGACTAATGCATAGAATTCACAAAGGTCTGGGAAATGTTCAACAGACAGAGCAGCAACCTTGTTGAATATGCAGGTAATTCATTCAGTAGAGACACCAGGAGGTCACGGTTTACCAGTGGAACTGAACTATCCCTAGAGCAAAGGCTACTTCAGAGCCACCCTAATAAGGATTAAGTAGATTCATAAATAACTTAAGTACCCACGAAACCAAAATTGAATAATTTTTACATGAAGACAACACAATACACTCAGTAATATAACATTTAAAAAGTCCAGCATCCAATCAAAATTACTAAA